CCCTCGCGCGTAGTGGTGGTCATCAGCAGTGGTCAGGGTGGCCAGGTTGTAGAGGGGCTCCCCAGAGACCAGAGACCTGCAGTGCTCCAAGGCCTCCTCCCACGTCTTGTTCTCCTTCACCAGCACCAGTTTCTCGTCGGAGCACAGGAACGTGTGTTCGTCATCACATTTGTCACTCGTCCACTCGTCTGTGTCGCTGTACTTCCACCCACAGTGTTCATTTTGATAGGGAGCTGAAAAACAAAGGTAATTCAACTACAGACATTGATTCTAAAAATGAAATATTTGCACATTGATAAAAAAAAAACGTACCAACCATACTAAATATATAACAGAATTTCCCCTATCAGGGAATAAGCGGTATTGATAATGGATGGATGGATGGAATTTTAGATAAACAACACTTCTTGTTAATTACTGCATAACTAAGTGATTGGTGATTAATTATTGTTGACATTTAATGTCTCCTCCATCCATCCATTTTCCACCGCTTTTCCGGGGTGGGGTCGCGGGGGCAGCAGCGGAAACAGGGAAACCCAGACTCCCCCTCTCCCCCGCCACTTCCGCCAGCTCCTCCGGGGGGATCCCGAGGCGTTCCCAGGCCAGCCGAGACACACAGTCCCCCCAGCGGGTCCTGGGTCTTCCTCTGGACCTCCTCACGGGTCCTGGGTCTTCCTTTGTACCTCCTCTCGGGTCCTGGGTCTTCCTCTGGACCTCCTCTCGGGTCCTGGGTCTTCCTCTGGACCTCCTCCCGGGTCCTGGGTCTTCCTCTGGGCCTCCTCCTGGTGGGACGTGCCCAGAACACCTCACCAGGGAGGCGACCAGGAGGCATCCTGATCAGATGCCCGAGCCACCTCAACTGGAGGAGCAGTGGCTCTACTCTGAGCCCCTCCCGTATGGCCGAACTTCTCACCCTATCTCAAGTCAAGTCAAGTAGGCTTTATTGTCAATTTCCTTACATGCGCTGGTCATACAAAGAATTGAAATTGCGTTTCTTGCTTTCCCATGCAGACATAGACATAGACTTTAGGTGTGGACATAGACAGTTAGACAAGGACAGTGCACATACATTACACCTAGAGTACCTAAACAATCCCATACAGACATATAAAGTGCAAGACTGGGCAACAAGAGGTATTGTTGTGCATTTCCAGTTATGTGTTATTTTGACGATTCTGACAGTGATAGCAGCATTGTGTGATATAATAAATATAAAGTGATCTCTAAGGGAGAGCCCAGCCACCCTGCGGAGGAAACTCATTTTGGCTGTTTGTATCCGGGATCTCGTTCTTTCGGTCACTACCCAAAGTTCGTGACCATAGACAAGGGTGGGAACGTAGATCGACCGATAAATTGAGAGCTTCGCCTTTAGGCTCAGCTCTCTCTTCATCACGACAGACCGGTACAGCGCCCGCATGACTGCAGACACCCCCCCGATCCGCCTATCGATCTCCTCCTCCCTACCCCCATTCGCCAACAAAACCCCGATATACTTGGATTTCTCCACTTGGGGAAGGACGTCCCCCCTGACCCGGAGAGGGAACTCTACCCTTTTCCGGTGAGAGACCATGGTGGAGGCACTGACCCCAAGTCTGTGTTAATTTACAATGAAATGTAAAGCCATTTTAAGAATAGGGTTTATATTACATTTTAACCTTAACCTGATTTAACGAATAAACTATCAACCTTCTGTCTGCACTGGTCCACCAATAAGCTGGTGAAAAAATATAAAAATATAAAAAGATATTTGTTTTTTCAAAGTAGGAATGAAAAGGTTTTAAAAAAAATGGAATTTCATTAAGAAGACATAGAGCTTTTTTCCTTTTTTACATGTTCAGATGTTCAGAGCAGGATGAACGCTTCTTAGTGTGTGTGTGCGTGTGTGTGTGTGTGTGTGTGTGTGTGTGTGTGTGTGTGTGTGTGTGTATGTGGGAGGGCCCAGGCCATCCAGTACCTGAATGACTAAATGGTTAAAGCTTCCTTGGAGGAGGGTTTTCCTTGGTAGAGTTCCCCTCTGCTCTTTCTGCTGGTGTCGGATTACAGCTAAACTTCCTT